AAAAACCCCCTGCGGGGTTACCAGATCCTCCATGGGGCGCGTCCCCTCGTGCGGATAGGGGAATGCCCGGTAGAAATACAGGGTAGGCGGGAAATAAAATACCGCCCGTGGATCAAAACTGGTAAATGCAGTGAAAAGGGTAATCCCTTTACGTGCTTGGCAAACACGCATGTCACAGCCAACCTTGTAAGGGCTAACCACCCGCACAAGTGTCTTTATGGTTCCTAATATATTAAGGGAAGCCTCGGACGAGCATCGCAATGGTCAGGGGCGATGCGGGACACTACAGCCTGATCAACCGAATGACGAACCGGATATGAATATGATTTTGCAACCGCTCCTGAGTGTTTCACCAAGTCAATTGGTGACCACAAGGGCGGTATCTCCAGGGCAACGCATGAAATGGACCAAAGAAATGAATGAGCACATCATGCGGAGCTACTATTTTGTTACCAGAAACGAAACCAACAAAAGCGGATATAGGACACGACTGCACGAACTATTTAAGCAAGCATACCCTAACATGAATGTATCAGTACAAAGGATAGGGGATCAACGGAGTGCAATAATTAGAAATAAGTATCTATCAGCCCGAAGACTCAACGAATTAAAGAATGAAGTAGAAAACCAGCTATCTACCGAAATTGAAATCGGTAGAACTCAACAAAATGATGATTGTATGACGCCTGTTAACGATATTTATCAACATGACGAACACCAAGCGATAAACGCATTAACAAATGTTGACGAAAATGAAAACTTGACGATACTAAGAAATGAATTCAATGCTGCAATGATAGAGTTCAATGGTACTGATCCATTACTACGCCCATTTCTTCCCAAACAAAAAGCTACAAAAAGTTTGGCTATAGCGACTTCTATTATGAACAAAGAAATATTGCCTACTTTTATTTTAAATAATAATTACACGTTTGAAGAACTGCAGACTGCAATATATGTGGCTGCAACAGCCGTTATTCGTTTCACTGGAGGGAAAACTGTTAGCCGTAGAATACCTCCCAAAAAGAAGTCAGTCGATCCGCCATGGAAACACAGACTGGCGTCTCAAATAAAAGAGCTACGTGCTACAATTGGTCGGCTAATACAGTACATGAACGGAAACCGGACGAAAAAGATGCGTAACTGGTATGAAACTTTTAAACTCGAAAATAAAAAGCACTCCAAACATGATCCGTCGAATGAAACAGCTGAACAATACCTAGATACTATCCGCCAAAAACTAGCTGTTAAGTCAAACCGTTTGCGTAGGTATACTCTATCAGAAAAGAGAAGAACACAAAACATATCATTTCAGCGAAATGAAAGAGGGTTTTATAGAAACCTTAAACGCAACAAGACTGAAGATATAACCGAAGTACCTAGCGCCGAGCAAATCGAAAGCTTCTGGAAGTCTATATGGTCAACCAGCACGAAACATGCAACCGATTCAGCGTGGATCCACGATGAGTACAAGAGAACGGAATCTATAAAAGCTATGGAAGACGCGACTTTCAGTGAGGCCGATATCAAAAAAGCTGTAGAGAGCACTCAAAATTGGCGGGCTGCAGGGCCAGATGGTATTTATAATTATTGGTTAAAAAAGTTTACATGTACACACAGTATGGTAGCTCAACACTTTACAAAATTCCTCAAACATGAATCCCAAGTACCGAACTTCTTAATGAAGGGATGTACATATCTGCTACCAAAGGACCCAAAAGATACGAAGAACCCTTCTAAGTATCGCCCCATCACGTGCCTATGTACCCTATATAAAATTCTTACATCTTGTTTAGCCGAAAAAATATGTACTCATCTTGATACGCACAACATTCTAGCCATCGAACAAAAAGGATGTGTTAAAAACAGCAAAGGCTGCAAAGAGCAGCTGATAATTGATACAGTCATAATGGAGCAAGCATACCATAATCAAAGAAATATTTATACATCTTATATCGACTTCAAAAAAGCCTTTGACACTGTTCCGCATTCTTGGCTTTTGGAGGTTTTAGACATTTATAAAATATCGCCGAACATAAAACGTCTTATGCAGCAACTTATGAACTCATGGAAAGTTACTTTAAAACTATTTCATAACAACGGACTCATAAAAACCGCTCCCATACCTATTAAAAGAGGTATTTTCCAAGGAGATAGCTTGAGTCCGATATGGTTTTGTCTGGCGCTAAATCCACTTTCTTCGATACTAAATGCGTCAAACTACGGCTTTAGTTTAAAAGCACCGCGTGTATCGCAATATAGACTTTCACACCTACTGTACGTGGATGACATAAAGCTATATGCTGCAAATGAACGTCAAATGAATACGCTACTGGAACAAACAGAAGATTTTTCAAATGATATAAAAATGTCGTTTGGAGTAGAAAAATGTCGAAGATTAAGTGTGGAAAATGGAAAACTTATAAGGCGAGAATTTGAATTAATGACTCATGAAACTGTAGACTCGATGACAGAAGACGACACATATAAATACCTTGGTATTTTACAGGCTAGGAGGATGCAGCACAGTGAAATAGTTTCAGCCATAACTAGTGAATACCTCCAAAGAGTAAGGAGCTTGCTGAAATCATGCTTGAATGGGAATAACCTTTTTAAAGCCATTAATGCATTTGCGATACCGGTTTTAACATACACCTTTGGTGTAGTAAAATGGTCCGAAACAGAACTGGAAAACGTCAAGAGAGCAACAAGGACATTGTTGACAAAGTATGGCACGCATCACCCAAAATCGGCAGTAGAACGTCTCTACTTGCCACGTCGACAGGGAGGTCGAGGGATGGTAGACATTAAGCAATTACATAATAAGTGTAAACAAAGCCTTCGTTTATACTTCCACAACCAAGAGAACAGCCTACTCCAAACCGTGTGCAAAGCCGATTTAAAATATTCACCATTAAATCTTAGTGAATTTTCTGCAATCGAATTAATATCAGGAACGCAACATATCCAGTCGCTCATGCAAGACTGGAAAATGAAAGCGGTTCATGGCAGATATCCACATGCTCTAGACGCTCCTGAAGTAGATAACGCTGCTTCCAACGAATGGTTAATTCACTCCGGCATCTACGCCGAAACTGAAGGTTTTATGATCGCTATACAAGATCAAGTTATTGCGACTAGAAACTACTCGAAATATATCATGCGTGCTTCCGTTGAAAACGACCTATGCAGACGATGCCAAAAGCAAACAGAAACCATCCACCACATCACAGGAGCTTGTGTCACGTTAGCAGCCACCGAATACTTAACCAGACATAACCAGGTGGCAAAAAATTGTACACCAGAGTCTAGCGATACAACATAAGCTAGTAACGGAAGAGCTGCCGTACTTTAAATATACTCCAGACGCTGTAATTGAAAACAGAACGAGCAAGCTATATTGGGACCGATCAGTTTTGACGGACCGTCCAATGCCACACAATAGGCCGGACATAATAGTGGTCGAAAAAGAAGTGAATCAAGCGTTCCTCATAGATATAGGCGTACCAAATACTCACAATCTTCAAGATTGTTATATGGAGAAATACAGAAAATACCAGAGCTTAGCATACGAGATCAAGGATTTGTGGAAATTAGAAAAAGTAGAGGTGATTCCAGTTATAATTTCGACAACAGGAGTTATTCCAAAATCATTGAACACTAGCCTGGAAAAACTCAACATGGTAGAAAAGCGAAGGGCCATACAAAAATCTGTGATATTATCTACATCATCGATAGTTCGTAAATTTCTGAATATAAATTAGCATTAAGAAACAGAAAAGCTTGCAACTGTGTAGTATTGTCAATATCCGTTTGTAACCAATCTGAAGATTATATTTCTCTTATACTACTTTATAATCAATAGTGTTAAGTATTTTGTTGTATACCAACCAATACTTGATGTGAACCCGTAACGGAGAAACAATAAAAAATAAAA